GCATACTGTCGGCCTTTGTGAATTGACGTCTGTGTTTTCTTAACCTTCAATTCTTCTTTCTAAGAATGGTGCTGGCACAAAATATTCTAAGAATTTGCAAAATAGACAAAAAGGGGATTGTTGTAATTAATGATAAAGACAATGATAAATGTATTGTATTTTAATTTCCGAGAAGGAAAAATCGCGAATATCAGTAATCGGATGCCAAACAATGCTGATTTGCTGTTTTCATATCAGAGGAATCTGTCCATTACACCTTTTCCTTAGCCCGTCTGTAATACAGGTGCTTATTATATTACTTCAACTACGGCGCCAGCGAAAGTGGTACGGTAAGATCTCAGCTTAGATCCGGCGGTGTCTGATATTAAATATACAAGATTATTAACCCTTTGAAGCCAAAGCTCGTGTGATTAATATTTAAAACGCCAGTCCATACCTCAAAGAAAACATAACTTTTCCGTATCACAGATGAGCTGGTCAATGCTGTTTAAGAAAATAATTGCCGTTGCACTGATAATCATACGAAACCCATAAATACACTCTGTGGAAAAAGAAACAAGAAAAAGCTCAGAGTAATTCATTATTAAAGCCGGTGGTATATATAATACTTGTAATTTACTTAAAGACGGTGTCAGTATTTTACAGAATCGAGTCGTCCATATAGTTAACACTCGGCTTTACTGGGTTATTTGCAAGTGGAACAGAATTAATTGGTCTGTGCAATGTAAGGGCTCTGATTTCTCAACTTAAATCGGCTTCATCCCCTCTGCCCTCTCTTTCGCCGCCAACGTCTCATTTTGTTCATGAGTATTCGGTTATCATTGCAACGATAATGCCCAGGTGCTATCATGCTCATTCATTTATTAACAGACAGGTACACAAACCACCAAAAAGTTATTTTACCTGACACGCAGTGTGCTGATTCGAACATTTATTCCGAAACATTTTAAATTTAAATCGCTCCACAAATCATTACAAAGTGTTGCTTCTTGTCTGAAAGTTTAGATTGTTCACTATAGCTGTTGATTACGAGATTATAGGGTCTTTAGACAAGAAGAACAACTTGCCTCGGGCCGAAAACAGCGATTATGGCACATAAATTATTGTCCTCCTCGTTCGAAAGTATATGCTGGGGTTAGCTGTCGACTTGTGGTAATAAAATGAAAGCATTAGATCCTCAGTATTGTACTACGCAGCTTGAATGCACACACGGTTCGAAATCTTTCAACTTGGTCTCATGTGTGCTTGGGCTGAAATTAAACTTACTTAACTTAAAGACACTTTTTCTAGATTATGTAATTGAGCGTCTAAACTATTGCTTTCTTTTTAGAGAAAGAAGTACGTCATTTCTCTTTTAACCAGTTTTAACCCTTTGGAGCGTAAGCTCATCTATACAGGGTGATTCAAAAGGTTAGGACCAAACTGAAGGAGCGTATAGAGGGACTCAGAGAGAATAACTTTCGAATAGGAATCCACGTCCTCCGAAGTTATCCTGAGTTAGTCGAGGCCATTGAAGGTAGGGAGATCTGATAACATACCGCTGGAATAATCGTACTTTGCTATTCTCCTACTAGCTTAATTTTGAATCACACGTATCACTCCAGATTCTACAGAGGTCCCTGGGCTGTTTACATTGTGTTTGTGAGTTGATAGTGAGTGGTGTCTTAACCTTTTGAATCACTCTGTATATTAATATTTATAAACCTAGCTCCTTTCTGAAATAAAACAATAGTTCTCTATTACAATACTGTTTTTATCTTTGTTTAAGCAAATAATACATTTTGTAATCAAAATACAAGTAGTTATGGTTGTTAAAACAGGTGATACACGTAGTTGGAACACAACTGGTATTTAAAAGGTGAATAAATTTACAAGATCGAGTTACTAATGAAAATTGTTAGTTCTGACATGTTTCACCCGAGAATCCATTTAGAGTATCAACAGCTACTTCCCAAACCTTTTGAAAACTGCTGGTAACTGTAGGCCTACTAACCACGTGCTTTAACACTCAATAATTCTACATTTAGCCCTCCGTGTTACGTGGGTCGAGCCGCTGAAGTATAATTGAAGAAACAATCTTGTAGATAGCTTGCGAATTATTTATATTAATTTGTAGGCGCCATAGGATGATGGTTAGTTCGGACGCTGTTGGTTTATGATATCGGGATTATTTTTAATTTTACTATCTCTCATTAGTTTTGCTTAAACTGATATAGGAGTTGAAATGTTATAAGCCTAAGTGTGTTACCATTAAGCACGTTTAAAAATGCGTATTTATATCAGGCACAGACAATGAAACCACGGCTCACCGTAGACCAACAACGGAAATCAGGCCAGTGGACATAAAAGCTAAGTACTCAATTTAGATAATACACCAACTCTTGCACAATTAAACGTTCAGTGTGGTATTACACGAAGTATGGTTTTATAAAGTGCAACCTTTTATGCTTTATAACAAACCATCGTCTTACGAATTTTATGATTTAATATGAATTAATCTGTTTGCCACTGATGATGAGCTCTTGAGGTCGAAACGCGTTTGGCGCTAAGTGTCTTTTTAAGTGTAAACAGTTTTGTTTGAATGCATGATTTTATAGATTTTCATTAACTTTAACCACACGAAAGGCCAAGCTGTTCTTTTATTTGACTCTGAACACGTGCTTAAAGATCGAATCTCTGTAATCTGTAGGGATTGTGACACTAATCGAACAAAACCGGTATAGCCTGAAAATGGCGATCTCGTTGGTTGTTGTGCCGTGTAGTATTTTAGCTGCATGTCGAAGTTTTGGAAGAACATAATGTTTCCATCTGCAGCGCTGACCCGGGGTAAAGCAGCGTGACGTGTGAACCTGATCACTGCCATCTTGTAGTTGTTGAAATGTGGAATGTGTGGAGATTTATCTTCCTGTTGTCTTTAAATCTTCGATACAGGGACAACGTTACGATGTTGTCACTGTTTGTAGCGGTATTATTAGGTACCACTTTACCGCACCTGCAGAATTTCATATTTTATTACCAACCAGGTCTTACTTAATCTCTGCTTGTCATTTGTTTTTGGTTTCTCTTTAAGCTAATGGCTAACGGTATATGTGTTTGAAAATTTATAACGAGATTTAGTAACCATGTTATATTTACTGCTGTGTTTAATACGGAAGATCTATACTACGCAATAAATCGATGCAAAATGGTGCTTCAATTTATGGACTATAATTTAGGGAAAGGATTGTTGTTATGACGGGATTTTATTGGAACTGCTTGAAGAAATTTAAGTTACAGAACGTAGTTTCTGCTGCAGCAGGAAGAATTTACGGCTCATATGCAAATTTATTGTTCTTTGGTAGCCTATATGTAGAGTCTTCCACGCGAAGAATATTCGTGCGCAAGGTAAAATTATTTGATGATCTGGTTGCATCATACGTCGGAGGAATACGTACCAACGTCGTGTGTCTAATATTCCTCAGCGCGAGAGGGGATACAGAGGACATACGAGGTCGTGGCCTGATCAGTGCTGTCTAGCCAGTGTCTGTTGGGGAAGATAGGTTATGACGACCCTAAATGTTAGTTTTAATGATTTACGCAGAAAAGAAGCTGTGCGGAGTAGGACGGTTGGTCCATCGGCACATCTCATTTTTTTTTGTCACCCATTTTATATTTAAGTTTTCTCGCCAATAGTATGAGTGTCGTTTGAATAGTACAAACTACGAAACTGATCAGGATCCAATAAGTCATGTCTCTTCTACCCATATATTTTTGTTACACGCTGTTATCGAACATTCTTAACCATGAGATTTGAGGTTTTACGGGTCGTAACGCGGCGTGGACTTACAAGCTGAAGTTATGTCTTGAAGATGGAGATAGTATGTTCCTCCGAACAATTAGTTTCTAACTGCAAATCCACACTGTATCACAACCAACATAGAGATCCTTCACCATGTCCTTTCCTCAGGGTGAGACAGTTTTACACACATGCAAACAATTGGTAAAATTATATTTTTGTATATTTTAATAGTTACGTTTTAAAGTAGGAGATGGAAAGGCAGAAGATTCTGAAGAGAATGGATGTCTTCAGACTGTGCCGTCAGTTATAGAGGACGTCGTTTCATGCGAGGTGTAGTGTGGGACGAACTTCAGGTGATGGTGGTAATGGCGCACTGCTGTACGTGCATCCAGCGTGCCGTAGCCATTACTCAACCTGACCCTCTGATCGACAGTACAATGGAAGTCACGTGATAGATTCCTCCTCCAGTCAGCTCCATGGGGTGCATCTTTAGTAGGCGATTTTCGACGTTCTGGGCAGGCGAAGGGATAGCGGTATGAAATCAACAAATTGATGTGCTGAACAAGTTAAATTATATATAACATGCATGTGATTTTGTACATATGATTCAGACCCAGGTGTTAGATTTATTTGTTCTTTAATTATGCTGTGTTTATTCCTTATATCAGAGTCAGACGAGATGCCATTGTGGTGGCGAGTTCTAGTATGTCAGGAAGGCAGTGAGCGTCACATAATTGAAGGTCCCATTCCGGCAGTTGTCTGAGGGGACTGAGAAAAACAAATATCTTAGACAGGATAGCCGGTCAGACGCATTACTGCAGAATCAGCTAACACTCTCAGTTCAGAATAAGCCAATTGTAAATGTAAGGGGAACCCTAATATTTTTAACTTCTTGGACATAGCAAAAAATCATAGTAAAATTCACCTGCCATTTTGGAAGATAAAAGCGTTAGAGGTCGAACATGACGTACGTGAGAAACCTGTAGTCGATTATATGGCTGAAAAGATTTCTACACGTAAGAAAAGATAGAATATAAATGGTTTGGGGAAGGCATGGTATCTATAAATGCACGTGCAAAGATGCAGGAAGAAAATTGTGGAATCGCTGGAAGCAGGATTTGGAGGTCGGTACGGATGCTTAATTTCCTAATCGGCGAAGAAGCAAAATAATGTTAAATATTCAGTGCGTGCC